CACTTCTCTGTTCAAGGTTGTGTATGCAACCCCCCAAATATGGTTCCTATCATCTTCCCATTGGAAGGTTTGAACAAAATTCACTACTGCAGCAATCTGTGGCAGTGTTAGACTTAAATTCAGAGAAGAAGAAGAAATGGGGAGGAAAAAACTGGACTGCAAGTCTGCAAAGGCAGACAACTATAAGCTCCTTGCTCCAAGGGATATGGCAGTATTCTTGTTCATGGCTACCGATCAAGGACAAAAACTCATCTCCTGCATACTTAAGAAGGACTATAAATAGTTGTGTAAGATGGGGCAGGGCCTTTTGCAGGGCTTTGGGTGAATGCATCTAAAGTTCTCCACGAAGCTGGTGCTTATTGTCTTCATCCAGAAGAACCACCAGTTCCTGCAAGAGAGTGGAAAAACAAATGAACAGATAAATAAAAACCTACTGATTGTTTTGTTCTGTAGGTCTCTTCCTTCCTGACAGACCCTAAAAGGCAAAATCTGTCAGGCTGGGGTATAACATTTTACTGACAACTTTAGGTAAAATGGAATGGACTCAAGATGTGGTATAAAATGTGCCATTAATTTACTTCCAGGTCCTGCCAAAAAACACAGATGCCAGAGCACTGGGAGTTTTCTGAATTCTTGCTTGTTGGCTGTGGGTGTAGTCTATTTATCTCCTTGTGCATCTTACTGTACACAGTAACAGTACAGTTTGGGAGTGATATATTGGATAGGGGCGGTTAGAGCTAAATGAGTGCTGTAAACCGAGATACGTAATGCTAGGATTATGCAATGATGGAGCTACTAACCCTGGAACCTGATCCACTTTTTTTTGTTAACTGAAAAAAGAAGAAAAGACCATTAGCAAGGTAATAATTCAGACATTGACGCATATGTGAGATGATCTCTCCTTTCTTTAATTTTTGGCACAGACCCAGTTCTGTGGAGGCAGGCAGTGTGTTAGAACCCAGGGAAACTGGCACACACAGCTGAAATATTGCAGTAGGGACTGTACCACAATATCAGATTCATATCAGTGCCCCACTTTACAGAACATTAGCAATCATCTCTACAGCATGATGGCAAACTTGGCTTTTATTGCTGCAGGCTAAGCTTGGGACCTGAAGTTCATAAATCAGTTTAGTGTCTTTGAGGTCATTGTCTGATTAGCTTCTTGCCCAGTGGGATTCATGTGCAGTCCTGTATTAAGGCTATTTCTTTCACAAATGGTTTGGTATTTATCTTGAATCTTCCATCCCTAACCTACAGATCTACATCAGGGAGTTGCATGCTTCACACTGATGCAATTAACATTTCTCACGGATCAGTCTGTGGGGTCCTTGCTTGACTTGTGTGGTCTAAATGGGGCTGTATTAGAGGACCTTTGAACATGAGACCCAGAGAGCAGGACTGGCAACGTGAACTGCCGAGCAGACTAGATGGCTGGTGGGGACTTCTGATGTAAGGCTTTGTTCAGACTGTGGTTTGGGCATGATGAATGCCTCTTGGATTTCAGCAGCTTGTGATGCTTTTGTGATGTTTGTGATGGAGAATCGATTAACCAGCATGCCTAGGTATGTAGTGTTGGATTTGCACTGGATGGTGAGAGTCTGGCTTGTAGTATTTTCACCACAGCAAAATTAAGGTGAGAAATCTGCTGGTACTTTGCATTTGTGTGAGGTGCATGTGGCCTACACATATATATAGGAAGCCAATCCACATGAAAACTTGTACAGTCCTACAGAACGGCTGCCTGTCTTGGGAAGCCATTCAAATAGGTGTAAATCATGGAAGCAATTTGATGTGAACTCCATTAGCATTATTTATTAACACTGCAAGATCTTTCCATTTTTAATGGCTTTTAAAGCAAAAAAAAAAAAAAAAAAAGGCCCATTATGATCAGCTATATTTGGCCTTTAGTAGGACAAGTTGAAATGTACTCAGTGTTAATTTTGGTACTGAGACATATAATTAGTGTATTCTTCTGTGCTATGTGGTTTTTTGTTCGGTCCATCATGATTTTGATATCATGACATTTTTTGAATGGTTTATCTTTGTTTACTTCTTGATTTGCTTCCTAAATAAATCATAGCAAACCTGAAGTTAAATTAGCCCTCTGCATGTATGCGTGTGTAAAGTCTTGATTTACATGCTGTTTGAAGTAAATTGCACAGACCTGGCAATTGTAAGTTACCAAAGTATTAGGGGACGCTTTCCTACAAAATTGAAATCAAACTGTTTTACTGCAGCAATTAAATGTGATTTATGATATAGTCTTTAATTATGTCATTGCCTTCTTTCTATTAAAAACAGAAGGAAGCAAAATGCATTCAGCTGAAGGAAGGAGAGAGGAAAAAAAAAGACATAATTTAAAGAGATTATATTCAGACATGGATAAAAATCGCTTTTGGGAGATGTTTCTTTTATTGTTTGGTGGATCACATGGCCTAAGTGGTTGAAAAATTATCCAAAATCAATTATGTCTATTACATAAGAATACCACACCCAGTATAACCAGTTTTAATGAATAAACGGTGACTCACAAATTATAGACATTCTTTGAAGAGGTAGTATCTCAGGGTGCGATTCACTTTGTCTTACTTAGGCCCTTAAAATTTGGGGACATCTAAGTTGGTCAATGGTTTTCATTTTTTTTAATGGTATCTTGTTTCTATGTAAACTACAATATTACAGTTGTTTGATGCCTTGCAGTGGGTATAAGCTGGATAAAAGTCCTTTGCAAGAAATGTTCTCTCTATGAAACCTGAGTTTAAAAAGGAGTACTACTTTCTTTCTGACATCAACAAATTCAAGGCATTGTGCAACTTGGAAAATGTTTCAGTTTCAAGCCATCAGTGTTAAATTGTTCCTTGAGAATACCTCTTAATTACTTAATTATTAGTTACTCTTTAAAAGTCAATACTAATAAAGCTGAACTTGGCAGTACTGATGGTTTTATTTTAACATCAACAAACCATGTAGTCTCCAAAATCTGCTTGTTGCAAGATCAGTCTGACAGCTCCATCCTGTATACCAAATCAACGTTGATTGCCACAGTGGCTGCACAAATAACTTAGTCAAAAGGCTTTCAGTGTAATATCCTCTAATCTTAATGTAATTTTAAGATGTCTGTAAAGCTAACACTATCATCTACAATCTTGTGCTGAAGTTGGTCTCTTGTAGTTCAAGGATGACTTTGACTTATCTGAGTTGATCTATCTTAAAACTTTGTAACAGTCAAAAATATTCCACACCTTGTTTTGGATAAGTTTTTGTTGTTGTTTTGTTTCTTAAATTGCTTAGAAATAACTTTAGGAAATGAAAATGTGATTATGCATTGCAGTGTGTGGCACTCCTGTGGAGGAGCTATGCTGAAGTTTATTTCTTCAGTGACAAATCTTCCTTGGCTTCTTGAGAATAATTTCTTAGGAGTGACCTCTTTAGTTATATGCAGTTGTAATTTTGCAAGGATTTTTAGCTTAAAGGTTATTTGCCAATATATATGTCATCACAGTTTTGGAATGGGCCAAACTCTGGCCAGCTACCTTAGGAGAAAGAAACATCTCACTGTCTATTGCTTGTGTGACTTAAGAGTAAAAATAAAATAATTATACTCTGCAGTTCTACGGATGTCTGAGAAAACTCTAAAATGAGAATAACTTTTTGACTCCAAGAATTGATTGGACTCCTAGAAAAGAACTTAAACCCATTAGATTATTTTTGTAACATCTAGTTTTGCTCTCAATAGAGGATTGAAGTTCAAGTTTTTTACATAAGGTATTTTTTAATTTCAAAGCTAACTGCTTAAATTCTAGGTTTTCTAGTGGTAGCATGCATTAGCAATTTAGGGAAAAATGAAAGGGTGATGATTTTACAGCTCCTTAAAGAGCTGTGTCCTCTCCTACGCTCTTTTACCAAGCACCGTTCATTTGTTCCACCACTAATTTCTTTAATTACTGTGGTAACCAGTAACTTTAGTCTGGATGCACACAGATGCCACAGCACTTCTAATTGTGTGCCTGAAGTCCTGCTCAGTGATGGAGATGGTCAGGATCCTCTAAAGAAGGCTTGTAATAAGCTAGTGACTGACCTGGAGACCTCTGAACTAAGTAAAAATAAATGTCCTTCTTAGCATTTGATTCCTGTACTTAACAGAGAGAAAAATGCATTTGGGCAGTTCTGGAAATTTTGTGTCCTCCTGATTTGTGTGTGTTACTAATCTGTGTTGATAAGAAATCGGCTAAGTTCATTCACTTCAAGGGACTTGTGCAGAGGGGAGTCCAATAAGAAGAATCTCAATAAGTTCTGGCTTGAGAAGGGTACTGCGTTGATAGTCTCTTTTGAGATGGAGTGGGTTAATGCCAGAAGCAAATTTCTTTTGTGGAAAACAGCTTTGCTGCAAACCCGTAGGCAATGCTTCTGGCATCACGTATCTTAAGTCCTTTATAAGGCATTGTTCTTGTTCACTGCTTTTCACCCCATATATATAAAGTAGCCCCACTAGTATAGTCTTACCGCTTGCCAGCTAGTGGGAATTGATGTGCATGTGGTAACAAAGACATGCCAGAGTGGTTCCTTAGTCATATTGCCTTAGGTGCAAGTGGCAAGGGGGGGGGAAAAAACTATTAAAATATTTCATGCCGGATATCATCAGTGTACAAGCTGTAAAATGAAGTAGGAGATAAGACTCTTTTCTTAGCACTTCGGTTTCAAATATAATTTATGCTTTTCAGTATTGCTTTAGAAAATAAGTATTCCCACAGAACTTAGCTGAAGATTGTGTTGTACTAGCAGAAACTGTCTGAAGATGTTGGATGTGACTTCTTTTGGGGCACAGAGAACTGTTTTTTAAAAGACTCTTTAAAAATTAATAATAATAATAATAAATAAAACCAAACAAGAATATGAACTATGCATTGAACTGAAGAAATTTTTTGTTCTCAGATGTTCTTGCTAGTCCTGATTTTGTATGCATGTATCAAACTAACTCTCAATTATTATTTTTATAGACAGTTACTGGGAAAAGCTTTGGAACCAAAGACTTTCGAGCAGCTCTAGAAAATGGAGTACTGTTATGCGAGTGAGTATTGACTTATCTATGCAAAAATGCTTCAGTTTGCTGTTAGCTGGCCTCTTCCCTTCTTGGCCTGTTGCAATTTTTTTTAAGTAACCAAAAATAAATTTGAAAGCTGTTCTTCCTTCCCATGGCAAATATCCGCTTTCTAAATCTACACATTCTGTGTGTTCGATACACTTCCTTGTGTCTTAGCTGGAACATTGTGCTAATCCTCTGGCTGGTTGATTAATTATTTTGGCTGTAATGCTTATGGCATCACTGGACTTTTTCTTCAACTTATGCATGGCTGTGATCAAGACACTCAGTTACTTGTCAGCCTAGTGGTGGTTGTTTTCCTGTTTCTCCACAAGAAATTGTTGTGTGCTGGCTGTTCTCTAAAGACTGAAAGAATTATTCCTCACAGAGAACTTTACACCCATAGAACGCTTTTCTTAAAAAGTACTTAATTTCAGAAATGAAGGTTATGAAATTGTAAATTAAAAATAGCATGCAGGCCTCTGATTTCATGTGCCCATTACTTACTGGTATTGCTCTTCAGCATAAAATATGAGAGGGGTTATTTTGCTATATATATTAAATATATATATTATTTTGTTATAATTATATCCAAGTGCCTCAATACCATAGAATCTATTGGATGTTACTTGACATATTTTATAAACTGTTGTTTTGTTTGTTTTAAATTAAAAAAAAAAAAGTGTTTTAGGATGATAAAAGTAAATGGGTTGGATATTAGTGTCATGTACATACATATACATATTAAAAAAAAATAATAAAAATCAGAGTGGTTTGGGTTGGAAGGGGCCTTTTAAAGACTATCCAGTTCCAACCCCTTGCCATGGGTGAGGACACCTCCCACCAGACCAGGTAGAAATATTTTCTTGTATGTGCAGCCCAGGTTTCATTACCTTTAATACTGAATTAGTTATTGCTTTCAACACCAAACAGTACTCTGACCTCAACTCTTTCTAGAGTGCTTTCTCAAAAAAAAAAAAAAAAGCTTCCTTCTATTTCCTTCTATTTATATGTTATAGACTTAGCACTAGTGGAACTTGTCTGGTTTCGTTGGTAGACTGAGTCAGAGGTGTAAAACATCCACTCATCAGGTCTCTTCAACATGTCTGTAATTTTCATCTGTACTTACTAGGTTTCCAGGACTGGAACTAGTGCTAAATCCTTATGGGTTAAGGAAAAGCAGGTGTGAATGTAATTAGAATGTCAGTATAGAGAAATCCTACTAGGGGTTTGCACGTGATGCTTAAAAAAATACCTTGATTCTCAGAGACACTCTTAAATCAGTTCAACCAAGCCAACTTTCAGAAAATATTTATAAAGGTACAATTCTCTGAGTTTAGTGTATATCACAAATAACCAAAGTAAAAGAAAAAAACCCACACCATTCCTGTATCTTTCTTCTTTTAATATTATTGCATTTCTTGTTTGTTCTTTTTTTTTCTCCTTTGGGCATGTCACCTTTCAGGCTATCTTGCTAGTTGCTTCTGCAGTTAACTTTGTGATGTGAAGGAGATGATATATTTTGAAGTGATGTTTTAGGGGTGGACACTGTATTTTTGTTACTTCTGTAATCAAATATGTAGTAGACTGAATCTGGTAATAGCTTATACTATTTCTTCAGGTATGTACTTATTGGGGTGTTGTGTGTATTGTATTCAGCTGTAACTTTTAAGTAGTGTCTTCAAGAATTGGTAATGAACTGATATTCTAACCCTCTGATATCTTCATTGTTGACATGTCTTTGGCAAAAGAATATAAGCTTCCATCTGCCAAATGTAAATCAGTTAAATTTATCTGTAATTAATAGCTACATGCAAGAAAAACATCCTATAATCTCTTCAGATGAGCAACTTGCTTTAGGAGGCATGCAAAATTTTTTAAAGGTAAAGACATCTAATTATGCTGCACTCAATCATACAGCTGTCCTCCCATATCATACTTTTAAAATTTAACATACTTGAAGTACAGGGATAAATGACTTCGATAGAAATTCCATGGAAATAGAGAACAGCAAATGTGAAAGGCTTTCCTATGTCCAGTTTTCACTGAAATAGACAGAATATGAGGTCTTAAACAGTGGAGATGAATTAAATGCAGCATTATTGTTGCCTTGGTTCCCCCATGCCATGACTAGTTTAATGTCCTCAGATGCATTTTCTATGGAGATGGATATTTGACAAACTATAGCAGACCAGACCTATACTTCCACCTTATACTCCAAGGGTAGCCCAGTTGGCTTGATAGACCCGTTTGATGGCCAAGTGTGTGTGTGTTAGCTGACTTATAAATCCTTTGATACTATACTAAATGTCTTTACACATATCTTTATAAATCTCTTTTACTAAATACATTAGAGAAGGAAAGACATGAAAGTTCTCCCTATTTCATGCTACTTTATGTTCTTAAGTAAATAAAGCAAATAAATAACATGCATTTGGAAGATTTAAGAAATGCGTGTGTGTGTGTATATATATATGTATGAATTTCACCTCGACAGATCACTATTTTTGTGGTCTTTAAATCTTTAAATGGGAAATTAGTCTGATTAACATCACCACTGATTTAGTAGAAACACAACTCATTTTTTCCTTGCACCAATCTAGGCACTGATTTTTTTATTTTTTATTTTTATCTCACTTTGCCATTGTCAGCAATCTTTATTTTTGTGACTTTTACCATTTTTGCTTCTATGATCTCTTATTGTTGCTTTTTGGAAATCAGCTGAAAAAAGACTTAAAAAATTGGACAGGGAAGGTTGTTAATGAGTTCAAATTTATTTGGCTCAAGTAATATGTGAGGAATATATGCAAAGTAGTTCTTAACTTTAAGCATGAATGTCACTGCTTATTATGTAACAGAAAATCATATGATTTATTTTCAGTTTGATTAACAAGATCAAACCTGGCATTGTTAAGAAGATCAATCGTCTGTCAACTCCAATAGCTGGGTTGGTAAGTAATGACAGTAATTCTATTACCTGTGGTATAAGTTCTGTTTCACTGTTTTTAATGTGTGCTCTTGCCTATTGGTCTTACATGGTCTCATAACAAAAACCTTCCAAGTGTGTAGAATGTTATCTCTATTTCCTTTTTTGTTCAAGATTTTGCCGTATATACTTTGATGTAGAATGCAGAGATTACCTGTGCTGTGATATGGATCTGTATCTTCAATCAGCTTGTCACCACATGAAGCTGCATCATCCCACTATCAGCACTGTGCACAAATACATACAACTTCACCTTTCTTTATTCAAAAGCCACCATCCTATATTCCATTCACAACCCACTTCCTAATTTCCTCTATTAGGGAATGGGCAGAGATGTCCTTTGTAATCTGAGTATTTTTAGAAGCTGCTTCTCCCCACCCACAGTAAAGCCTATGTTGCATTAAAATAACTCTGATTCAGAAATCTCTCTTTATGCTTCAGCTAAGGGATTTGTCGATGTTTTGGCTGTAAATCACATCATCTGAAGAAGGGGAAAAGTAATGATGGAATCACTTACACAGGAAATCTTAGACTTCCATTTGCTATTTGGCAAACTTTCTGGTCAGAGACTGTAGGCTAATTTTTTTTTAGCCCTTTGAAAACAGAAAAGCTTTTGAGAATATACAAATTCAGAGCTTTCATTTTTTTTTTTTTTTTCTCCTAGAAACAGTATCCTTCTTAGTTATCCCTGTTGCCAGGGTATCTATGTCTCTTAGACAGTTCTGTGACCAGAACTGTTTAGACTTTTTTAAAGACCCAAGGTGAACAGGGACAAGAAAGTAGATTCACTATGGTAAATGTACAATTTCAACATTAGAGAAAGTTACCTGAATTCTTAATAGAAGTAGAATACAATATTTCTCTAACTTGTTTTGTTTGCTCATCCCTTTAATACATCTTCTTTTGTTGGTCAGCTATGCAACTCTTTAAGAAAGAGTTTTAAAGTGTATTTAACTTGGCTAGAAGTCATAAGATTGGGTTAACTTGCCATATATCATTGCACAAGCTCAGAAAGTGTATTTCCACATCAAATGAATGTACAAAGCATTAGCTGCCTTTGTCCTAGAAAAGCTTTGGGTATTAGGTTTGTGAATAATGAGTGCTGCACATTCTTCCCCTATGAGGCATCCAAAAAAAGAATTCAAATTAAACCAAAATCATTCTGGGGAAGACAGTGAGGTTATTCTATCAGTAGTTTGGTTGCCTAAAGGGTCTCTAAAGTAGGAATTAATCCAAACCAGATAAATATAGGATAGATTTCATTTTTGTGGTGATTAAGTATTGTCTTGAAAGATAAAATGCAATGTTTTCATTTTTACAAGTATTATTATTTTGTTTTCAGATACAAGAATTTGGAGTATTCATTAGGTGTGTAGTTTGTCTTAGTTGTGGTGCGTTATTGTTCCTTCAAGTTGTTTCTAGTTCCTACAAGTCTTCAATAATAAAAGAAAGCAGAGGAAAGGTGAATGAATCTCATAAACCAAGATCATTAACACCACCACTAAATGGTGGTGGTGTTAAAAGAGCAGTTCAAGATAGTCATTTAGACAGCTGATATTTTATGTAACCCCATGGAAAAGATTTTACAGAAATACTTCAGTTTCAGAAGATTGTGATTATTGTGGCAATAATGGGAAGGAGAGGAGAGTTATTTTTCCAGACTTCAGAGGAATGTGTTCAATTATACCAGCTCTGGAGAGTCCCACTGTCATCATTGCATGTAAAACTCACAAAAAAAAAAATATAGTTTTGTGCACTTACAGAAACACAAGCATTAGTACCTGACAGGCTCAGGATACCATGGCTGATGAACCGCAAGACTTAGTTGACATGGATCCTTTCCATCTTTACTTCTATACTTGAAATAAAAGTAAAGTTTCTTTTTCTACTGACAAATTCTCTACAGTGCTTGCTAGGAATTAGCTGGTAGGCTTGCTTGCCGTGCTCTAGAAATACTTGAATTGTTGTTACTTGCTTCTCCCACAAATCTGCTTCTAGGCTGTGTTTGCCATGGCTTCATATCCACTCTACAGCTCTCACTTCTGCTGCATTCGGTGTTTTTTTGGTCATACGTTAATTGCTCCCCACCAAGCCTTTATGAGATTTACTAATACTGCTGGTAGGGGGACTTTTTTTTTGTTTCCTTTTTGTTAAGCAGGTGTGGACTTTATCTTCAAGAGGTAGGATTTATTTCTAACAGATAAACAGATCCCCCAACTTGAATTTGAGTCTCTTGATCTTCTGATCCTGTTCTTTCTACACCTTCTTCATGGTCCTCTGGACTCATGATTAAGGACTCAAGTCCATTTCCTAAAAATTTATTAATCTTTGGGCGTCTAGCATCCATTTCTGTCCTGTTGTTTTTAGTTAAAAGGGAGATAAATACCTTTTTTTTTTTTTTTGGCAGAACAGAAGTCTGCAGAAAACAAAAGCTTTAAAAGATGTGTATGTTTTTTCAAGTTAATGTATTTGGCTGCCATATTATTGTGGTATTTTTTCCCCATTTCCCTCTGAAAAATCATGTTCACTTCAAATACTTGGCAGTGTTCTCAGTAGTGCAGAAATACAATGTTCAACAGACATCTTCAGTTAAATCTCCAGAAGGGTTTCATTATATTGTTTCTTTGACTTCATGGTTATTTTGAAAACAAATTTGAGTAAAATAGGAAGTGAAAGACTATATGAATAATGAAAGAGTCTGGTTTCTAAGGAATATTGTGCACTACACTTCATATTGAGGTGGAAAACTAAACTGTTTTTTGTTGTTTTTGTTTTTAATTAAGTAAATGCGTTATTAAATTGTCACTTGCTTTTGTGATACATTAATGTTTAAAAAATATAATAGCAGCTTTATATTAACAGAATCACCTAAATTTCATGTTCATTTAAGACAACTGAAAATGGGCTTCAACTTTTGTCTCTAATTTGAGTATACGGCTGCCTAGCAATTTTGGGTTTGGATCTCAGTGGTTGGGGTGTAATCATGATGGAATGGATAAATATGTGCCTTGATTAAATACTGAAATTAAACTTAGCATTCAGTTATCAAAAATGCTGAATTGATACTAGGCAAACTTAAAAATTCATTAAGCTATTACTGAAGTGCTGCTGCTCTATTTCAGAGGCATGTGTCTCCTGTTGCTTGGGTGATATCTATCAGTCATCTTATCTGTCTTTTTTTAATGTTTGTTTGGAAAACTGAACTGATACACTGAGGGAAGAGACCAAGACCGAACAAGTTGCAGGCAAGTGGTGGGAGTAGGAGGTAGAGGGCAGAACAGGACCATCTTCTGATGGTGATGAGAGGTGCTCAGGACAGCCCAGCCCTGAAGTGAATCTCTTATTCCAATGGCAATTAGCAGGACATGACTGCTGGGAACACCTTCTCCTGCAGCAGCACATCCTAGATCCTTGTGGGTTCCTTCCAACTCAGGATATTCTATGACCCACAGAGCAGTGTACACATTTGATTAGTCCTAGATCAATGCCAGCTTGCCCAGCTGAGTTGATGTGCAACCTTATTGCTGCTTCAGAGCTGTGGTGGCAGTAACAGATGCCACTGCAGCCATCCTGGGCTCTCATGTCATTGCTGGTCAACAATGAGTGACCAACAAAAATCAACCATGAGTGACCAACATAATGTCAGCACAGCTCTCGAGGAGGTTCCTGAACAATGACACATGCAGCCTTCAAGGTACAAAGGACTAATTCCAGCAGTAGATGCAGGAGACTGTGACTTGCTACAGTTTGATTTTTAACAGCATACAGAGGGTGATGTGCTTGCAGGGTTCCTGAAGGGAGTTTGCTTGGCTGCTTACTTGCTTTAATTACCTTTAAAGGGATGGTGAAGGCAGCTAACACCACTAAATGAAAGCTGAGAGAATGTTATTTGTTGAAAACTTTGCACTTGAAATATCTTCTGGAGAATGAAGAACTGGTTTCTGCTTTTCTTTTCAGTTGTATAAAACACAGTGCAAAGAGCAATCCATGTTTTTTTCCCTAGTACTGCAGCAAGCCAGTACAGAGTACCAGTTCATGAAGCTCTTAAGCTCTTTGGTGTTTCTAGGGGACAGGGAAAGGGTAAGGAAAAGATCAGAGAACTGTAGAGGATGGGGTTTCATTTTGCAAGGCAATGAAAGTGAAGTCTGCCTTTAAACAAACAAAAAAACACTTTGTGGTGCACGCTTGTATCAAATAGGCTTGCCTCAGGGTAATGTGATTTAAAGAAAATTCTCACATTGAAAGATCTTGCTGGGTTGATCTTTTTCCCCCTACTTTTCTCCTGTTATGGAGAAGACACTGCTTGTATTGATTTTAGAACAGCACAACTTGCATCTAGACAAAGTACTATAAATTTTATGCCTTGTTCCATCAGCATGATGCAACTGCACTTGTAATGTGGATAGCAGACCATTCACCTCACCTTCTGAAAAACTGCCTTGCACTAAAGAGCAATCCCAACTTCTCTGTTGCTTCGTTTCTTTCAAATATTGTGCATTAAATGACCATTTCAAAATGTTTTTTTGATGCTTCATTCCTTTTGCTGTTTCCCTAGCATGGTGTTAGTCCCAGGTTTCAGATGAAGGTGAAAAAGTAATCCCCAAACACCTTTTCACTTTCCTTTTATCCAAGGAGAAGCTTTTTCTTAAAAACAAAACAAACCCCACAACTTTTACTCTTAACAACAAGAACATTGTTTTACTTGCTGTATGGTATTTCTTTCTTTCTTTCTTTTTTTTTTTTTTAATGATTCTCTCCCTTTAGTAGTGAAATAGGCAGGAGGAAAAAGAAAGGGAAATCTTGAATCTTGCAATCTCAGGATGTTGCAAATAAAAAGTTGCAAGCTGATTTTGTTGGGAGTTCTCAGGGAAAAATATAATGAATGCTTTCAAACCTTCCCCACCTTCCTGCCTCCTCCTCCCTTTCCCCCCTCCTCTACCCCCCCCAAAACAAACAAACAAACAA